TACAACTAGGCAAGTGCCGCATTTCCTAAAAGCCCAAACTTTGAACAAAACTCGAGTTTTTGGGGTTTTTCGTTTTTCGTTGCCGCACCTTCGTCGTACAAATGAACCTTGGCTCTTAAAAACCGCAAATCAATGCGCTTTTTGATACCATCAAAAAGGCTGACAGCTGAATCAATGGCCGCGGCCGTAAGGGTAGTCGCGAACAGCTCTCGCAAACAATTATATATTTTATTTGCAAAAACTGGTTGTTTAAGCAGAGATAGGACTGGATCGTAATTACGTTGATGTCAAGCTCAAGTTTGTGCTGTTAAAAACGAGAAAAACCCGGGAAAAACCGGGAAATACCCTATTAAAATTCAATTTTTGCTTGACGCTACACAGCGGCAATTTCCGTTTACGCCCCCCCCCCCGTCCGCATCGTACAAAATCACCCCGAGCCTCCATCTCGCGGTACGGCTTTGACTCGCCCGCCGTTCCGCTCCCGCGCGAGTGCGGCACTTTTTGTGCGCGCAAAAAGTCAGGCGCCTTGGTGCTCCCGTTTCCTCGAGCCTAACTTGTGGGGTTTGTCGCGCGGCTGGGAGGACAAGAAAAATAGATGGCGAGTCGACAGTCGAGAATTTCCGATGGCTTTTTTGAGATCTCTTTGATTCGAGGACCGCATAAAGGGCGGCGTTGACCGCTTGCAGCTCCAGGAGCGGTTTTGGCAGCCAGTTTGGTGCTGTGTACGTGTGGTCATTTACTACGGTAATTCCCATGGAAATATTTATTTAACGGCAATTCAAATGTTTTATTTGATGCAAAGCTGGACTAACGATTTTTCGGCAGATTTTGGGAAGCTAGAAGTTTCCAGGCCACTGGAGCTATTTTTGAAAAATGTCCGCATTTTACAACATTTATTTTATAGGTTTTATGTTTCTTTAAATTTATTTTCTATTGCTTTTCCGCTTTCTCCGGAATCACTAATTTTTCCGAATTTTTAGCCAAAAAATGCTCCACCTGGTGATCGGCTCGGCAATTTTTGCCGTTGTAGCGTCGCAGTGCGGAAATGGTAAGTCAAATCAGACAATTTTTATTATTAGAGTTTAAAGGTGAAAATACGATTATCATAAATTCTTTTCAATTGCAGACCCTGTCTGCAAATCTACCCCATCGTGCTACCGTTTGACCTACATGGTGCGCCGCCAAGAGTCCGGGACCGGAAATTCCAGCTTTTACTATGAGTAGGTTAAATTTTCGGGTTTGCGTGTTTAAAAGTAATACCTTACATGATTTTCCAATCTAGAAATCTTTAAGCTAAATTTTTATTAAACTAATTAGGTTTTTGATTTTAATGGTCTAGGGATGGCTACACATATTCAAATTTAAAAATTTACCATTGTCGCTATTAAATTTAGGGTTTTGTAAAAACCTCTATGTTAGGAAAAATTAGCATAGACCGGAAGTGGGCCGTCCCCACAAGGAGAAAGGTTGTTTTTCATTTTTTTTTTTTTTAATGGAGGGCAATTTAAAGGGGCAGAATAGTATGGGAGGAGGGGTTAAAAAGCCAACCCTTCTTCTTACATTTCCAGCTGCTGCGACGACGAGAGAGGGTGTGAGAGCCATCTGGACCTGCACTGCCCCCACCAAGGATCACCGTGTTGTGATGTGGATCAATGGCGTTGGGGTAAACTAATTTTGGCAGGATTAGCTTAAAAAAATGTAAATTTACTATATTATAAACTTGTGGTTTTTACGAAATCAAGTTTAGTTCAACTCCGAACTCCCGGCCATTTCTGACGCCTACGGAAGCGCCAACACTGCCGGACTTGGAAACGTAAGGTTTTGCTGGTTCAAACGTTAGTAAAAATGGTATTTTTGCTAGTTTTAGACCTTCTATAAGTTAATAGATAGGTTAATAATAATAGATTATATTTGAAACATTTTAGCCGACCACCCCTGTCGAGCTGTTCTGCAGCACCGAAACCGGAAAATGGGTCCTCCGCAACCCTACTAATGACAACTGGCAATTGGCAAGTTTTTGGGGGAGGGCAAGCTTGCAGTGATTTTTTAGGAACGCATAGAACAAAATTAAGTATATGCTAAAAAACGAAAAGTTATCTCGTTCCAGGGCGGCCGCAACTACTACCTCCCCATCAGCGACCTCACGTGCCAGACCGAATATGTTGGAGACAGGAAGCAATAATAATCCTGAATTCTGTACTTTGTAGCATTGAATTTTTGTAAATCCAGCCAAAAAATAAAAACCCGAAATATTTATACGCCCGTGTACAAAAATGAGATCAAGAAAAGCATAAAACTCGCTTAATTATACGGCCGGTAGCCCTCGGCTTTGACCAGCCAAAAGTCATCATGCGCCTTGCCGGATTTCTCGTGGATGAACTGGGAGTGGATGTGGGTCGCGTTGAAGACCTCGACTACTGTAATAAATTGGAATATTTCTAGAGCTTCCAACTAACGATTAAATCCGTACGAGTCACTGGAAGCGGCGCTGAAAACGGCCGGTTTGAAGTCGGCCTCCTTGGTGTGGCTGTGGCAGCCCTGAAAAGAAGAATTTAAATTATTTATTGAATAGATTTATTGAACAGGGCGTTAGATATTATTTAGATATTAGTAAGTTTTTGACCGTATTACCAGCAAAAAAACGAATAAATTTTCACCCACCGCGCTTCCAGTAACAAAGTGCACGGTCGCCTTCGCGTTCTCAATATAGCTCCCATTTTTGTAGACAGTCGGATTTTCGTCGTAGATTGGGAATAAGCTATGAGTATGTTTTTTTAAGGCCTACTATCAAAAGAGTTACCGTTCATAGTAGTGCCTATGGCCGCTGAACACCAAGTCAACGCCGAATTTCCCGAGGAAGGGTTCTAAAGCCGGGAGATTGGCGTCACCTTTTCGGAGCTAAAATCAGGGTGTACGTTAGAGTTAGTTTTCGGTCTCTAGCAGGCAGGGAGAGAGCGAGAGAGAGAGAGCGAGAGAGAGAGGGCGAGAGGGATACAGAAAGAGCGAGAGAGTGTGCGTCTGAAAAGCGGACCACGATGTTCTCCGTCTTGTCGCACTTTGCCGAGCAGTACATCGGCCGATGGAGCATGGAGATGAGCCATGGGTTTGATGCCTAAAATCGTAATTATAACGTTGACCAACAAAATGAAAGATACTGGATGCTTTAATGTATAGTTAGCTTGAAAAAAGGAGAATATTCGAATCTGAAAAGCTGCTACGAACTAAAATATGGCTCATGGCACGCTAGCAGCGATTTTTGGAGATACGCCCTCGTTCGACCCACCTGATCCATATCCTTCTCCAGCCACTGCACCATCTCATATGCCTCACGATACATTTGAAAATTATGATATTCCGACGAGAATCCGGTGATGTGAGCTGCGCCCAGGTCCAAACTAAAGACAAATAATTTGAGCTACCTCCCGCATCTTACCTCCAATATTGATTATCCTTCACCGCCTGGCCGGCATCCGGCATCGTGAACCGATTGATGTAGTGGTTGAAATTCTAAGCCGGCAAACATTATCGAAATCGAAGATAGTATGACCTGATTTTGCTCGTGGTTTCCAGCTAGAACCATGAACGGGATATGGCTGATCATTTCTTGCATGTCATTCATGAAGTCGTCGCCGGTCTCAAAAAATTATGTTATGCTTTTTGCGTAACTTTCACTTTACAATTGAGCTCTGGACGCCAGAAAGTGGGCTTAAACAAACTATAAAGCTGTAATCGAATCACCTTTCCATCATTCGAGTCCAAATCGTAGGAGATGTCGCCTGAAAATGTGAGTTTTTCTTTTTAATTATGAAAAAGTGCACCTACCAATAAGAAACATGACATCAAAAGCCCCAGCCCTCGCAAATTCCTTCAACCGATCCATACTCCTCCCATCCGCCCCTTGTGCCAAATCCCCAAATACGGCTGCTCGGAACTGTAAAAAATGTACTCAAAGCATTATCAAATTATTCTTACCCCATTTTTGCCATCTAACATTGTAAAATTGAAGAGCTGGGACTGCCCTTCAGAAGAGCCAACGCGATAGTCTAAATCAAGGGTACGGTAGCGGAGTGTAACGTACAGTAGTGTGCACCTGGCTCCAAATCCTTCAAAATCACGCGATGTGTGTAGCGGATGGACTGAAATTGAACAATATTTAACATAGATTAAATTTCTATAATTTCACAATTTGATACTTTAATAATGTTTACAATTTTACAATTTGATAGTTTCATAATTTAATAAAATATTAAAAATGGCGAATTCCTGACCTTCTGCTTGCCCTGATCTACCCATGCGGTGACGGTAGAGTCTGTATTTTGCTGATCAGGTGAAGCTTTACCGTACCATACGGTAGATTTGGTGTTCGCTTGCTTGTCTAAAGAAAATTTGGGATGAAAAAGAGCATTTTAGTCGATTACGGTCCCCCAAAAAAAGTTCCTCACATTTTTCCTTGGTAATCCAAGTGACGGCCATCGAATTCGGGGCATTTTGGAGGGAGATGTGGACTTGTTCCGGGAGAATACTGGAGCCGCCTACGGTAGAGATAGCACAAAATAAAAGCTGGATTCTGAGGCCGAACATCATCTAAAAAATTATATTGATTCAAGCGAAAACGGCTGCCTTCGAAAAGGGGTTTTTTGGAAGGAACGAAATTTCAATTTTTACCTTCTAGCGTGAAATTTTTTCAATTCAAATTGATGAATTTGCTAAAGACAGCAAAATCGCAAAAAAACGAATCTTAGGTTTAAAAACATGAGAATCACTATCGTATCACCTAAATTCCCAAAAATGTTTTTGTTTTCATTCAAAAGTGCAAAAACTGTCTGGGCTGTTGCCCTCAAAAGACGCCCCCGGATACCGTAAGACCAAGCGCTATCAGCCCAAATAAAATTCGGCAATCTTGAAAACACACCGGTCCACACCTCTCCACCCACACATTTTATAGCCCGCCCCATTATCTATTCAGTTCATCTCTAGGCAGTAAACCCTTCTGCGTCATTTCCTCCCCAAAATCTGAAGCCAATGGGCATTGCGTTTGTTATCACTGTAAATTTGGAGTTTCCGTTTGTCTGTCCGCGTCGCGGGTTGACCTGAAAATGGACGGATGCCGACTTTTCCGAGACAAACGTTCCGAATACGGGGAGACCGTTTTTCGCGGGCCGTCTGGCTGTTGCACTCTGGTAGACCAGAAAAACGGCACGAATTTGCAGGATCTTAGACATACGGGCACATTTTAGGCGGCCGAGAGTTGGTCGCGTTGGCCTCTGGGAGTAGCTTGTGACGGCCGAGTTGCGGTTTTGGGGTTAAAAGTTTAAAAACCCAATTGGAACGACTCTAGCGTTCGTTTAAATGTGGAAAATGTAGGCTTGAAACTCCCAAACTGAATCCACGGCTTCGTTTCTGGAATAGCAAATTTTGATAGGTTCAACAATACTTTTTCACACGTATTTCGGCAGAGTGAGACAGTTGGCTGGAAATTGGGGAGCGACCGTACACTCCTATGTTTATCTTTATTTTTTGGCTTTATTGGATAGGGCATTGGATTCGTTATTGAAGAATTTTTACGACTTAAAGAATTAAATAGTAAACTGGCTTAAGCCTTCAAATTTTTGAGGGTTTTTAGTTTTTTAGTTTTTAAGGTAGATAGATAATCGGAAGATGTATGAACAAAATTGTTTCAGTTTCAGAAACGTAATTTAGAAGAGCCGTGAGAAAAAACGTATCGTAAGGGATATTTTCTGCTCATTGTAGATTTCCCCGGCCGCAATTTCTAAAATACCTATCTTTAACCTAATTTTTATACATTTAATGCTAGGGAAGACAAAATATAACAATTTATTCAATTCTTCGGCCGATAGCCTGGAGTTTTCGTGAGCCACGACGCGTCGTGCTCGTGGTCCGAGGCGGCGTTGATGAATTGAGAGAAAATTTCCGTCGCACTATTGATTTCGATCACTGTAAAAAAATCGATTTTTTTTAAGCTTTGACTTACAACTAAAGCCATAGAGCTCGCTATGGTGGGCGCTGTAGGGGAGCGGCTTGTAGTCGACGTCGTCGATGTGGGTGTGACAGCCCTGGAGTTTGTGGTTTTCAATGAATAAATAAGTAAAAAAATGGGAAAATAATACTATTAAAATAGCTGCAACTTACAGCGCTTCCGCTCACAAAGTGAATCGTCGCCTTAGCATCTTTAATGTGGGCGGCATCTTTGTAAATTGTGGCCCTGTCGTTGTAGATTGGGAAAAGCCTGAATTTGCATATGCATTTTTTTAAACCTTAAAGTAAACTTAATAAAGTAGCTATTAATTTACATAAATACAAATTTTTAGAATGAAATCCGAACATTTGGTGGTACTTACCTCTCGTAGTAATGTTTATGCCCGGCGAAGAGCATATCAACACCATATTCGCCCAAGATCGGCTCGATGGCAGGCAGCTTGTTGGCTCCCTTTTTCAGCTTTAAAATTGGAATTTACTTACAAAATGTGTACACTACCACATTATTTTCGAAGGCATCGCAACGAGCAGAACAATACATTGGGCGATGGATCATGGCGATGATCCAGGGTTGTTTTGTCTAAAAAATATAGGTCTTGCTCTCTCGCTCTCTCTCTCTCTCTCTCTCTCTTTCTCTCACGCCCTCTCTCTCTCTCTCAAAAACGAACCTTGGCCAAATCGGCCTTCAACCAATCGACCATCTTCTGGGCTTGATCGTACATGTTATAATTGTGATATTCCGAGCTGAGCCCGACAAAATGGACCGGGCCGAGGTCAAAACTTAAAGTTTGAGTTAGGGCTCATTTACGCTTTAGCATTTGCTCAAAACACTGTTCATTAAAACTATATTTCTTTAAAGGCAGGTTTAACCTACCTCCAAAACTGATTGTCATTCACCTTCCCATTGCTTGGCATCGTAAATCGATTGATGTAATGATTGAAGTTCTAAATCCTATTTTACATCAATTTTTTAGTAGATCTTACCTGGCTTTGCTCATGATTCCCGGCCAACGTCATGTAGGGAATATGCGAGGCAACGTCTTCAAATTCCTTGAAGAAATAGTCGCCGATCTAACTGAAAACCTCGGGGCATTCGTTACAGTATTTACCCATCCATCCGCTTGATCCATGTCGTAAGCAATATCGCCTTAAATTCAGCTTAATTCGGAGTTATTAATGCGACAAACCAATATGGAACATGATATTGTATCGTCCCGTAAAGGAATAATACCTCAACGGCTCCAAGCTCAAGCCTTTTTGGCCCTGGGCCAGGTCGCCAAAGATGGCCGCACGGATCTAAAAATCGAATATAAAAGAACCACTAAATCGTTATATATGTTATAGAACCTAATCTTTATTAATGCCTACCTCGTAACAGCTAGGTAATACCTAGTAGGTATCATCAAAAAGGCCTTCTTACCGGCTTTTTCGGGTCGATCATCGTAAAGTTGAACGGTTTCGACATGCCCTCATCAGATCCAACTTTGTAATCTAAAGAAACAAATGCGATAAAGGAAGACATACTACATTACTTTAAATAATAATTAGGAAAATCTGCATTCGCTACTACAAACTTACAATAACGAACTCCGGGCTCGAGGCCGGTGAGCGTCACCCGATGTGTGTGTCGGGTTGACTAAAACATTTTAATAGTTGAAATACATCTCTTAATTTAATAAATGAAGCTTTTTTTACGTTTCTTCCGCCATGGTCGTTCCACGTTGTCACCGTCGATTTGTCATTTTTTAGGTTAAAGTTGTTCGCGATCGCACTATAGCTCACGTACGATTTTGTCTTGGCATTCGCATCTAAAAGAAGCTTTTTTTCAAGGATTTCTTGCATTTTTGTTGTTCTCGGCTGTTTTAGATGTAATAACAAAACAGTAAAACTTCATCAACTAACATGGCGTATGCGTTATCCAGGTGATTGCCATCGATTTCGGGTCATTTTGCAGGGATATGTGAACTTGTTCCGGGCTATTTGCACATAGAAATTGGAAGGTGGCAAAGAACCAAATTGACCCCAAATTCCAGCGCATAAGCTTAAAGGGAAATTGAAATAGAAGAGGTTTTCATTGAGGGCAATCGAAGCTTCTATCTGAAGAAAAATCAACAAAACCGACGTTCCGGGCCGCGTTTAAAATTCTAAAAAAGGATGCAACGATTCACGAGAAAATAAAACAAAAGCAGGCGATTGCCTCGCCCCAGCCGGCCTTTCACCCCGATCTTCCAAAATCACGCAATTCTTATCTTGCGCTCTGCACAACTTCGAAGAATTGATTTATATAGAAGAAGAAGCGATAACTTTGATTACGTAGGTGTGCGAGCGGTCCCAGATGCGATTTTGTTTCTTTGAGCTTTGATGGTCGCTTCTCTACGTTGGAAAGCCGTACTTTTCTTCTTAGGCATCGGCAACACACAATCTACAATCCCATATCTCTCTTTTCGAAGGTTCGGAAGTGTGATTTTTGATGCGGTAGTGACTTGAAGCGATGTCAAACTGAAATATCAACCTTTATCGACGTGCCAACAACGAAGAAAAACAATACACGTATATCCTAAACTATTCGGAGGCGGTGATCGGGGTCATCGTCTTGACGGCGAAGAGGTCGAGCCGCACCTCGAGCAGCGCCTTGAAGCAAGCGATAGAAGAAGTGTAGCCACCCGCACGACGATGAGCAGACGGCTCGCGGATGAACTAAAAACAGTTTTCAACGTAAAAAATTACACTACCAACCCGTAAATATCCTCCGGACTCGATCTCGTTGATGGTAAGCATCGGCGGGCCGTTAGTGTCGATGACCATGGGTCTGTGGAAATACGGACGCCCGGCAATCCGATGAGCAGCAAAAGTAAGCCCATCATTGCGCTTGCGTTCTAAAAACCGTTGACAATATTTTAAAGATTGTACCTTTCTTCAGCTTCTTTTTGCGCTCCATTTCCTCTTTTTGCTCGAGGTCCTGTTCGATTTGCCTAAAAAATCGTAAATACGCTTGAAATTGAACTTTACCGCTTTCTCTCTCGATCCAAAATCATTTCCGCAGCGACGTTCGATTCCCGGAGCTCTTTCATAATCTCCTTCGTGTCCTTGACGTTCAGCTTCTCGTTTTGATCTTTCTACAAACAAAAATTAACTTTTAAAGATGATTCTACCATCTCCTCTTCGGTGCGCAAATTGTGCAACCGTGACTTCATCTTTTGCTCGTCGGCAATTTGCTCCTGGATCCAAATCTCGTCGGAGTTGAACTTTTTGCGGTTTTTCTCGATTTGTTCGGCGTTTTTCTCCTGGTAAAGCCAATAGAAAGCCAAAACAAAGCGCTTACCTGATATTCTCGCACTTCGCGTTCAGTCTCTTCGATGTTCTCCTCGTAGAGCAAGTTCATCACCAGAACTTCTACATGCTCGAGGTAGTCGTTGAAATCGCGGAGAGTCGGAAAATCCTCTTCTTTCATGTTGAAAACCTAAGCAAACCCACTATTACGGACGCCATGCGTTAAACAGACCTTTTTAAACCGTCGGCGAATGAAATTCTCCTTCTCGACCATGGGATCCTCAAAAACTTGCTCCCAGAAATTATTTCTTCTGAAAAAATTGCTTACAGAGGAATGCTGCGTTTGCTTACTTTAACATTTTCCCACAAATTTCACATGGGGCTGCGTTGCGGGCGAAAAGGTTGTCAACACAAGTTCTACCTGAAGAAAAATAGAACCCAACGTTAAAACGTACATAGTGGGTGCCCGCATTCGTTGACTAACATGACTAGACTTTTGTTGGTGTATTCGTTGGATTTACATTTTCGGCATTCCCTCATTTTCGGCTGAAAAACGGAACTCAATAGATTTATTTTCAAATACCTAGTTTTTAGGTCCGAATTGACTTCCACAACGGTCTTCTGATGAGGGTAGAGACTGCAGACTTACCGCTTGGCGACGAAGAACCTGGAGACGCGCTCAGCTTCCTAGAGATATTTTATCATCAGGTCAGAACCCGAAATAAACCCTTGTAAAGCTCGGCCTGTTGCTGCGGGTCCGTCACCGAGCTGTTCTTGGCAAAGTGGTCCCTGATTCTGCGGTGGAAGAACGAGCGGTAGTTGGTTTGCGGGAACTAAACAAAATGCTTCGATTACATCAGAAAATACCTTGGCGGCCTCGCGCTGCAATTGCTTGTAGATCGCTATCCAGTTAGACTTCGGGATCGCAGACATCGGAGGCGAGCAGCCTAAATGTTAGGATAACCAATTGAAGCTAATTTTCTAGCACTGATTAAGTTGAAAAGCATGAAACTCGACTCCTTTCGAAAGTTTTATTACGGGGGAAAATCAGAGGCGGGGATCCCAACAGGCGCGCGTGTTATCCGCCTGCAAGTAGTAATGGCGCGTACTTCCCAGGAGTACCTAGGGCGCCATGTTGCAAACTTTGTTAAAACAATTCCGAAAATTTTTGCTTGATTATAAGATTCGAAATTCTAGAAAAACATGGAACATCTAGTAGCTTTTCAGGATATCTAGGTTAGCATGTTTTTGTTCAAGAGGTCGAATCAACGCTAACTGCCGCTGATAAAGTTTATAAAATGTTGTGATTTCTATAAAGACTATATAATGTTATCATATTTTGGCCGGGGGGTTTGGCGGTCCCCTGGCCCGTGGGGGGCCCGGGCGGTGTTGTTCCGGGTTTTGGTTTGGCGATAAAAAAAAATTTTCCCGCAACGTCTACAGTTTTTCCTTTTAAATAAAAATTTAAATATTTTTTTTTTGGGTGGGGTTGTGTTCCCCGGGGGGTGGGGTGGTTTGCATAAAACCCGGTTTAAGGAGAAGGGGGTCCCGGGGGAGAAACCCTTTTCCACAAATTTCCCCAGAACCCCCTTTCCCCCCGTTCCGGCCGCCTCGGGGCCCCCCCCCCCCCCGGGGGCGGGGGGGGGGGGGGGGGGGGGGGGCCCGGGAGGGGCGGGACCCCGGGGCCCCCCGGGCGCGGGGGCCCCCCCCCCCTCCCGGGTGGGGGGGGGGGGCCCCCCCCCGACAGCGCCCCCCTTCTCCCCTAAATTTTTTTCTTTTTTTTTTTCGGACAATTTTTTTTTTGTTTTCTTTTTTTCCCCTTTTTTCTTCCCTTTCCCTGGGGGGCGGGTTCCGTTAACCCTTTATATTTGTTTTAAAAATTTTTTTTTTTTTAAATTTTTTATCCCCCCCCCTTTTTTTCGGGGGGGGTGGGGTTTTTTTTAGAAACAAAAAAAAAATCCCCCAAAACCCCCCCCTTTGGGGTGGAAGAGGGGGGCCAGCAAACCGCAATAGCGCCCATATTTTGAGCCGGCCAGACAAAACATATATTACAGCGATCCTTTTTGCCTCACTGCCCTGCTGGCCGACACTAGCAAGTAAGTGTACTTGTGCGTACAAGTAGTGTACAAGAGTATTTGTAAGTGCCTTCTTTCTGTTTATTCCCCTGACTGCACTAGAATGTAAAATTCCCAGGATCTCTAGTTTCCAATTACAAGCCGCTTTCCACGATACCGTATCACCAGCTCTAATCCTATCAACCGGCCCCGCCCCGACCGGCGATCGCCCCCGTGAACAGCCAGCCAGACTACACAAAAAATCCGGCGAGACGCGCGGATTGGCCTAGTCAGCGCGCGGGAGGGGGCCGGTCGACTAAAGGAAGATCAAGAAACCTTTCGAGGAAAGCAATTTTGCGGAAACTTAAAACGGTCAAGACAAGCAGACAGGGACCTACTTTACGTACGTGCAAGTAAGTTGGGCTGCGGGGCGGATTGGGTCGTACTCCGTGCATCGATTGTGTCATGAGAGCCGGATTCAAAAGAAATGGCTGCAAAAACTATAAACCCCTCTAAAAATTAGATTGACTTACATATGTAAAACTTTTGTAAAGGTGTGTGCGTCATTTTATCATATTTTGTCGAGCTTCCGGTATCGTTAAGCTCCTATCTTTGTAGGGGCTGTTTGCAGTAGTTTGTAGATGACATTCTGGTGCCGTACTACCAGAACAACAATTTCAAGACTTTGCGAAAAGGTAGCTTTCCTTATCCAGACCTGAGTGTAGCAAGTGCGCCCGATCCGATTTGACTACGAGAGCGTACAGATGACGATTCGAGGACAATGATTAACAATCGAGAGTGCGAGCAGCTGATGGCGGCAGAAGTCGCACTCAATCGTGATATCTGGACTTCGTGAGCAGTGAAAACTACATCCTCTTGGAGTGCAAACTATCGTACCGTAGCGTAGCCGAACGTTCGACGCCTAGATCTTTAATTTTTATGAACTATGAGGATGTTCTATATTTCCCACCAGATTAATTTGTTCTATGTCGCTGATCTTTGCCCGTCCTCCAACCAGCTAATGCGATCTCCGCTCTTAACTAGCCTAGCTATACGTCCTCGTAGATACCGTACCCCTCCCCCACATAACTAGATGGCTAAATCACAGTCCGAACCAGCCCACGGATTTTCCGAAAAATTTCGGTACCCGCCGCGTTCGGATCTCTGATCAACCCCGAGGCACACCCTTGAAACACGCACAAGGAATTTGACTAAAAATCAGCGCGAAACAAGGGGTTAGCCAAGCCGCCGGGGGGCGCGTGGAGCTAGTCCCCAAATGGGATTATTTCAGCGCGGCCCTTTGGCGCGTGTCGGGACCGGGCGCCACTCCTGAATTTAGCCTCCGTACAAAGAGCATCCCCATTAGAGAGAGGCTCTTAGACGGGGGGCTGGAAAGATCAGGGCATGGGAAAAGAAACACTTTTCGGACTCCATAAGGAATCTCCGACCATCAGCGTCAGCCACCAGTCCCGGAATTCAGCCCGCCGAATCAGCTTTGAATTTCGCGGCGGGGGTGGAGACGATCATTTTTGGGGGCTCCGGGGGCTGGTCGGCTCTCGATCAGTGTGCTTTGGCCACTGCACCAATGCTACCGCTACGGATATTCGGCCCTGGGTTTTTGGTTGGGTTACTGTGTAAGTGTTTATAATGCTGTTTTATAGCTTATTGGAAACTGGAGGGTAGCGTTAAGAGTGGAGCGTCCTAATGCTACGTTAACGCCTCTAATGACGTCTACGCGTCTCTTCTTATTCGGGTTGTGCTGCGTAAATAGGCGTCGCCGTTATATACTGTCAGAAAGTGCGTTTTATTACCAGACGTACGGCTCCAAGTTGTCGCACAGCCTTGAATGCGTCTGCCGGTATCTCGTAGACCTTATCACGACAACTCCGGATACCTTAAGTTCCGATTACAGTACCGTAGCGCGCATTTTTGGCCAGTCGGCGCTGCGTGTTGAAATCAGTGCTCTTTTTGGTATCTCAAAACGACTTCGTAAAAGGTAGCAAAAACCACCTTTCCTAGTTTCTTTCATAAATCTATCCAGCAACGACCGCAGCTAGTTAGCTCTGGGCAATTTTCAAAACCTCAGAAATTTAGAAAGTTTAAGATATTAAAGCTCCCGTTTTTAGGCTTGATCCACCTCATCACCTCAAAAATAGTCATCGACGATGAGAAGGACCTCAAAGACCCCAGCCGGAATAACCCCTATTATGACAAGAAGGAGGGCGTCACCAAGATCAACATCACCGATAACGTAATTGCTTCGAAAATTATTTTCATTTTGCTACTCATTTTCAGTCGGCCGTCGAGCTGAAGAAGCACTGGGTCGACCAAGCGTTTTCCGGGCTTATGGCAGCCGTGGTTCAGCAAAAGTATCTTAACTCTTCATCAGATTAAAATGGGTTTTAGAACAACCAAACTGAAGAAGAAGTACCAGGAGATTGTTCATAAATGTAGTAAAAAGGTAAGGTAACGGCAGAAATAAAAAGAATCTTTATTTTCTAGGCACACTCAGTGGAAGCGCACGCAAAATGTGTGATGAAGGCCATAAAATTGTTGAAGAATCCGAGGCATCACGATCGAACGAGTAAGAAGGAACCTTAATTCATTAAAATCTTACAGTAGCTTCGATTACGGCATGAAATTGCCTTAAGAAGCTCTGGAAAAGGGGCTGGAAAACGATTAAAAATTTGAATAATATTTTTTAGCTACTACAACGACAACGACTACAACCACTACTACCACCACCACAATACCACCCACAACCCCCGCAAAATCGATCCTCCGTAGCCTAAAAATGAGCCGCAAGAACAAGTCGTCTTCCCGGGAGCGAAAAATAAAATGGCGATCTTCAAAGTCAGCGTCGGGAAGCCGAGAACGACTTCACATGCGTAGACTCAAAATTCGGACCGGAAGCCGTGAGCGCGGGTTCACGAGTGGGGAGCTTCGGAGGATAAAGGTGCCAAGGAGGAGGAAGTATTCGAGAAGCTCGAAGAACAAGTCGATCATGGAGAGTTACGAACAGCGGAAGACCGAGTTTGTATCTTATAGCTTTCTTAAGATAAATAACTTTTAGGCGGCACCGGAAGCGAGTTTTGGACCGGCTGAACTCGTTGGAGAAGTTTGGATTGGTAAGTATCCGGGATTCCTTATAATGTTGACGGTATGATGATTTAACGCAAGTTGTATACCAAGAAAAGGCTTGTATCTAATAGGAACTCCGGTTGAAAAATTGCCTTCTAGAAACGCGCCAAAGTTCTGAAGTACAAACGCAGAAGGATGAAGCGTCACATCAAACAGCAGGTAATCAATAAGGCAGATTCCCATGGAGCTTAATTTTGTTTAATAATATCAATCAGTTTATTTAAAGGCCAGCTACACCCTGCCGCACGAGTTGGACAAGTCCCCCTTTGGTGTAGTAGCCACCCACATTACCAATACCTTACGCAAGCTCAAAGGCGACAACACGGAACCGAGAAGGTCAGCTTTTCCTTGATTTTCCGTAAATTTGCTCTGTTTTAGTTGGCGCTCCATCGTGGCGGATGTCGAGATCAAGGGCAAGGAGATCAAGATGAGGCGAAAAGTTCGTAAACTGATGGCAAAACGGATCGAGGGCTTTAAACAAACCGCCAAACAGGAAAATATCGAACTTGATGATCATCGACCCTTGGCTATGAAGGTATGAGGGCAAAAACTTTTAATTCGAGGTCTTGCTCAATTTTTTTAGGAGCTTGAACTTGGCGAGGAGGACGAGGAAACAGAAATGATGAAGCTGGCGGAGAATAAGAAGAAAAACATGACGCTTGACGAGCAGCTGGCCCAAGAGCCAGTCAAGTTGATGAGAGAAGGCTAGTGCTGACAGCGGAGTTTAACTGAATGCAATTTTAGCTGTAAAAATCGGGATGACGCTGACTGGGCAGAATACAACTGGTTTTGATAAGAAGCCCGTGAAGCTGCTGTCACCACGCTTTTTGGCGTTGATGCAGGAGGATGAGGAGGAGCGGAAGGAGGAGGTAAAGTGGATTTAAAATTGCTCAAAAATGGAAATACATTATGAAAGCGGGTTACTGTAGAGCGTTTTGTTGTTTGTATGAATGCTGCATCACCTTTTGAATTCTGTGCGCTCTCTACCTTTCGGATTCATCGCATTTTTAAAATTTTGCTGACTAAAAACCTAAAAGCCTGCCGATTTAGCAGCCAAATTCCATGTTTTTGATGATAGCCAGATCGCTTCAAAATCCTTATAAAACCTCGAATTCATAACATTAAAAAATACAGGTCAACGTCCTCTCCCCAGCCCTGTTCTCGCTCCACGGTGAGGGCAATGAGGTCGAGCGAAAACTCTCACTCCACCATGCCCTCGGTGGAATGAAAGGGGATGGAAATCAACTCCTGGATATGGTCATCGAAGCTTCGGGAGTCGGAGATTACGTGGATATGATTCGAGTAGCCTCAAACTTCAAAGCGTCTACTTTGCTTTAGAAAAACAAGCTCGAAGAGATCCTACAAAAGGAGGAGCCTCAAGGCCCGAACGGGGAGCGGATGTACTGGTCGAAGGAAAACGCCACCAAATATCTGGGAGATCACGAGATCCGAAAAATTGAGACGATCGAAAGGTTGACTACGATGTACACCCCTGAACAGGTGTGTGTTTGTAGTAGCTTTACGTAGCTCTTTGGTAGATGCACGACATGAAGGAGCAGGGCTTTACGGTGCTCACGCCACGGCAGGCGGATTGGATCTATGGTCCGAGGTCGCCATTTAACGACACGGCAACGTTGGATAGGATTCAAAATTTATACAGTAGGCCTGACGGATTAACGAAAGAATGAAAATTTAGTCTCTGACATGATGTCCGAGGGCGTTGATGATGCCATTACCGAGACGATTGGGCGTGTAGCGCGTGGACATTCGAAATATGAGGTTCGTAGCGGCTCTGTCTAGCTCGTTCTCTCGCACTTTCTCACTCTCTCTCTCTCTCACTCTCTCGCTCTCTCACTCACTCTCGCTCTCTCTCACGCTTTCTTTATGTATATTAATTGCAGATCCGCCAGCATGACATTGTCCTCTCCCCAATCGTCAATACAAATTTGATTCTGAATCCCGCAGCCGCTTCTCAACCCATCATTCTATCACCGGCAAGCTATTCCTTAAAAAAATACCCAGATACCGTCGTCCAAAATGCTGGATTTCCATTTTCAGGTGCTCTTCTCATCCCTCATCCTGTCCCCAGGAATCTTCGGACCCATCGTCCTTTCCCCATGGCTTTTCGTGGCCGGAATTTTGTCGCCTAGGTAAGTGCCGCACGATTTTTTCCGAACCGGATTAAAAACCTATGGCAAAAAGTAAATAAATTCAGGGTGTTCTCGCCGGTCATCCTGACACCGTTCGGCTTTGTGCCCATCATTCTAACGCCATTCGTGTTCGATCCGATCATTCTTGGGCCCGGGATGTTCAACCCGATCGTGTTGTCGCCCCTTCTTGGATCACCATTTATTCTATCACCACAGGTATTGGATGATACTTTAGCAAAGAGAGAGAGAGAGAAAGAGAAAGAGAGAGAGCGAGAGAGAGAGACAGCGAGTCAGAGACCGTGAAAGAGAGCGGACGAGCAAGTGAGAGAGTGAGAGCGAGCCCGAGAGAGAGCGTGTAAGAGCGAGCGAGAGCGAGAGATAGAGAGAGAGAGAGAGAGAGAAACTCAAACACTTAAAATATCGGCCTTACAACTCAATAAAACCTTTTTTCAGGTCTGCACCCCGGTCATCCTGTCGCCAATTCTCCTCTCCCCATTCATCCTCACCCCCAACGTCATGTCCCCCCTAATTCTGTCTCCATTCCTGCTGAACCCTATCATTTTATCTCCAGCCTACGTTGGTGCCCTTGTTCTCTCTCCTTACGCCCTCTCTCCGGCCATCGCATCCACCGGAGCGGTCTTCTCCGTGGTCGCGTCGCCTAGTATTCTGTCGTAATCGGACAGGCCCAAGGCGACTAATATTTTTATTTTCCGCTGATCTTTTGCTCAACCCATACAAGTATCTGTGATTTTTATGTGCAATAAAGTATTGATTTTTGAGGAGAACAGTAAGTTTTATGAACGTGTCACTCTTCTCCATTTTTTTTGTTCGTGTATGCAGAAATTCACGGCAAATTCACATTATGACTTTCGGAAAAAGGCTTTATTATTTTCCGGACTACACGCCGGAGACACAAAAATTGGATGGCCGAATTCCGGATCGAGAGAGAGCAGTCGTCATTTAGGGCCGAGTAGTCGTCGAGTGGGATTCGGCTGCTAGTGTCTCTTCTTGTGACGCCACACGCGGCACTTCTTCGCCGGGTTCATCGGCGAGTTCAGCTACAACAATCGATCCGATTTCTAGACCGCGAACCCCTTACCGGGCACTTGTAGGCGCGAGCAAATTCGTTCGAGTTTTTCATCATCTGAAGAAATCGGATCGCTGATTCTGAAATCTGCCAACCTCATTGACACGAAAAACGCCGGGCGGGTGCACATTTTCGAGGGCACCGACTAGACGATCATCGCTGGCCTCGCCACACCAGAACTGAAAAGGATATTAAAGAGGCTGGCCAGGGTGAGACCATGGCCGCAGCGATAAAGTAGAGCTGGTCAGGGGTGTAGCTTTCGAGTCCGGGGAGCCTCTTCTCCTTTTTGCCGTAAACGCGCTGGCGCTCCTTGCGGTAGGCCTGAAAAGCAGGCTTATCGTGTCGCTCTATCTTGATCTCAACTCCCTCTCTCTCTCTCTTTTTTTCCCTCTCCTCTTTCTCGCTTTCTCTCTCTCTTTCTCTCCCTCTCTCTGTCTCCTCCCTCTCTTTCTCTCTCTCTCCCTCCTCTCTCTCTCTCTCTCTCCTGACCTACCCTAAAGCTCGACCTCAACCCGACATTGTCAGCCACCGTCTCCCCATGGGTCAGGTCTCCGGGTTGCTAAAATGCATTTTTTCAGGCGACGCTCTCGCCACCCACTCTGAAGACGTCGTCTAGGGTGTTCAGCGGGAGCGTCTGATTGCCATATTGGTGTTGGATGCATTCGACTTGTTCCTCGAACTGCTCGGCGTCCTCGGCGCCGATGAGCACCGGAGGCGAACGGTCGATACCTAGCAGAAACGTCAGAAATTGATTGATCAATTGGCCCTGCGGTATCGTATCGATTCCATTGGTGCATGGATGCTTATCTCTTACTATTCGGGTCGATGGTGTGCCCGAGCTCGTGGCCGATGGTGAACCCGACGCCGCCGTAGATCATCTCCAGGGCGTCGGTGGACGAGTAGAGGGGCGGGGCCAGGAGTCCCCACAGGATCCCTAGAGAAAATTCGCGGGGAATTATGTAAGTATCGCTACGAATTTTATCGTAGGTGTTCAAGGCGTTCACGACGGCATTTGTCGAGGCGAGTGAATCCTAGAACATAATTCAAAATTCAAAAACAGGTGCTTTTGCATAGGATCAGGTAAAACTATTTTTTTTACTATTTAGAGGCATAGAAACCTTAAAATATTGATTAAAATTGCAAAAACATTGATTTTAGGTTAAAATCACATTTAAAAAATTCTCCGATTTTTTATGGCCTTGCTGAACAACTTCCTTGGCACGCTGATGCAAAACCCGACCCCCACCCCCCGATGATGCAAAAGCACCCAAAAGCATCTTTTTTGGAGTTCCCTGTCAAATACATTGAATTGCTTGAAGCCGGTCCACCGCTTGCGCTTTTCGCGAAACGTGGCCCAGTCGGGTGCGTCGGCCGGGGTATACTGTAACTTCAAGGGTACCAAAGAATCCAATTCACTGCAAACCCCCTCGTAGTACTGCTCCACCCTGCTCCTTGACCACACGACGTGCGCATACCCCACGTGCATCGAGATGTTGTTGACCTGAACTTGACGATGATGAGGCATTGATAAAGCTGACCTTTTCGATGGCCACCTCTTGGGTGGGCGGATCGGCCCACGGACTTTCGTGGATGATCTCACGGAACGCCACGCGCACCTTGTCCATCAGCTTCTGCACTAAAACTGCTAAAAATTTGCCAAAAAGAGCTTGCCGGTATGCTGTCCAAGTCGCGCTTCTTGTAGATGCGCTCCAACGACAGCGCGTCGGTCCATCGGGGATGTTCAGCTACCATCTAGAAAGATAACCATCAAGCTTAGCTGAAGCACCTTACCTTTCCGGCGCAATACTTTTTCTTGTCGGTCTTCCTTGACATCCATTTCTGAAAAAGGGTGGTGTACGCGTTTTGTGTTTGCCCCTCCCCGCTAATAGTACATTACCTTAATTTAAAGGTTTTTATTGTAACGTGGTTCTTTAGGATTCCCGGGGGGGGAAAGTATTCCGGGGAAACCAATTTTTCTGGTGGTCCCGGCTGACCTAGTAATCAACATAAAGTGTTTTCGAATTGTTTTTAGTAAGTTTTAACTATATTTAAAGCAGAATAACTTTCAGGGAAATTTTAGAAAATGTTTGAAAAGTCGAAATTTTGGTCATTTTGGGTCTATTTTTCGACCCTAATTTTTAATTTTTACATTTTTGTTAAATGTGTGGTTTTTATGCACAGGCATAGTTAAAAACAGTTTAGAGCATATATTTATAAAAATCTGGCTTTCGCCGAAAAAATTTGTTTTCCCCGGGAATACTTTCCCCCGGGAATCCTAAGGTAAGTTATTGAATTCTATTGTAAATTGCTGTTCTGCTTTTAAAGCTCACTAAGCCAACACGACGCAGAATTTTCGCAACGGAGAAAATCAGCGCACCTTGTAGATCTCTTCGTACTTGTCGCCAATCTCGTGAATCCGGTTGAGCACCAGCTCGGCAATCACCGCTTCGACCGCCTCCTCCGGGTACTCGCCGACCAGCTTGTTCAGCTAAAAATGGGCAATTCTATTTTTCCCATGTTGTTGCCTAAAGAGCCCTTGCTACGCTGCCCCAACTGGTATAAATTCCGTGAAAGCACTCGATGCCAACCTTCTCAAAATAGTTGTTGTGGAAGATTTGGAGCTTCTCGGGCAGCTCGTGGGCCGGGTATCGAGCCTTGATCCAGGTGGGCAGCATGAGCTAAATGTTAATAAACTCAATCTCAAGTAGCTTCCCACATTCGACAAGGCATCGATTTCGTAATACCAAAATAGCCATGGGCTCTGGTCTGTTCGGAGTTGGTTTTCTGCTCGGAGCTGAAAATAAATTGCGCGGTTAAATAATTAGGCTGGGGGACGAGGCTTTTGGGAAAAAAGAAAGATTTTGCCGCGGCCAGGGGTCGAACCGCCCCCCCGCTCAGGAGCGGGATGGCTACCAGTCAGCCACAGCTAGGACAGAGAGCGCGCCCGAGGGAGAAGCGCGGACATTTCCCTTCCATGCGATGTATACGTTTGACAGAGTATACGGCCCCTCCCTGAACGTGCGCTTTAAGCTCGGAGTAAGCGAAATCTTAGTAAAAGCCAAAAAACATCGCATGCTCACCTCCTCTAGCTTCTCCAAAAATTTTCCGTAACGCTCGGCGCCTTGCTGGCGTACAGCGGCGCGTTCAGGGGTGTCGGCTTCGCCAAGATCTTCGGCTAGCACTTTCGCGAGCTGAAAACATAGAGTAGGAAAAGAGCGAGAGAGAGAGAGAGCGAGAGAGAGATCTGGCGCACCTCCTCGACGAGCAGTTTCTGCGTGATCAGCTGCACCGGCAGCTTCCAGGCGATGCGTCTGAAGTTCGCGACAACCGCTTGGCCCATGACGCCGCCGGCGATGAATTGGAAGAAGGGCGTCGCATCACCACCCGTCAAGCGAATCGTGTCGTTCAGGCTCGGGCGAGGTTTCCCAGAAAATGGGGGGCCGCCGACAGCCTTCAGGATTTCGCGAAGCTGGCTGGAAATAACCTTATACTTGAATCGGATAGTGCCGTACCCAAATCCAGTTGTCTCTGTGTCCAGACACATTTTGTACGTCTTGTACACCTTCCGGTCAGCTCCGGTAGCCGTTTTGTTCGCGGGGACTCGATCCAGGAAGTCTATAATTGCTTACGGCGTAAAAATGGGGGTTTTCCCACCGGTGATCGTGTTCTTGATACGATCGTCCAAATCGACCGTGGTGCCCGTCATGTAGTCGAATCGCTTGAGCGGTTTGTCCTAACGAAGCAGTAGATCTTCCCGTTAACTTGCAAAAATTAACCTGTAGATACCTCCCGCAGGCAAACTTGAAGAAATCCTGGCACGGCTCGGCGTCAGGCGCGATCATTTTCAGCTGAAAGAGCAGTTGGCAATTTTTCCATTTTTTTTTTTGTGTATTAAACTAGAGATGCCTGGAACTTAGTTGTAAGTATTTTTATAATGCTAAAAAATTAAACCATATAATAATATCTAAAAACAAAAAAAAAACTAAAAACTACAAAAACTATCTAAAAACTTGAATATTTTTTCAAAAACGACCATTTTTGGTCGAGAAATTGCTATTTATTTAGTATTCTTGATAAATATTCGTCGACTTTTACCCTTAGGAATAGTAAAACTTATTCTTAGAGACTTAGCTATAAAGAAATCTAGAAAGATTTCTTCTTAAAGTCTTAATTTTAAACTTCAATATTTTCGCTATTTATATGTAAAAATAATGGTCCCAAAGAAGAAATTCTAAAAGCTACAAAATATTTGGCGGTCCTTTTGCATCCCGGCGTGTTACAGTAGCCGTCGGGGCCAATTTTTGGAGGCTTGGGACGGCCGTGACCAGGGGTCGTCTTCCTGGCAATTTCCGGATCCGTGATGTTCGGGTCGGATGACTTGACGAGGGGAGATTCTGGAAAATTCATCGTTGTATTTAACAGCTATTTTCAGAAGCTGGAAATTAGAATATCTAAGAATACTGACGCTGCATATGCCATAACGTCCACGAAACAATGATGACCAGAAGAGAAGCGCGATAAACGGAAAGATTGCCGAACGACGATCCAAGAGTCTGAATTCAAGGATTTGCTTGCGGGTTTCGTAACCTACCGCCCGGGCACCATCTTCGAGTGTAAAATCTGATTATATTGACCAGTAAACAACCACTTAGACGGATGCAAAAGACCCAGTCAAAGTAATTGTATGAAAATTGCAGAATTTTTCAGCGTACTTTCTCAGATTTTGTATGCTTTTTAATGGTGCGTCGGCGACATAACTCCAATGCATTTATTACAGGCATAAAATAGACAAGAATAAAGATAGAAATTGTAAATTTAACCGATCTCAAATCGCATTCTGAAATAAATAAACTCGCCTTTCGATTCTTCGGTATCTGCACGTTCTTCACAGCGAGGTTACACCCGAATTTTCCTTGCCCGGCAGCGCGTTTCCTTCTTCGGCAACGACCCAAAAGGCAGTAAATCTACAAAAAGCGATCGGCTTACCGGCGCCGTGAACTTGGTCGCGCTCATACGGATAGGCTAAAAATTGATGGCCATACAATAGATCGGCATGCATTTAGCGTTTCGAAAAGTCGAAAAAAAAACCAATTCCAAGGGTCAGTACCTTTCCCACCAGGTACTGAAAAATGGCCTTCAGGCGGCAGGTAAAACAGTCGATCTTCGATCCGTATTTTCTCGTTTTTGAATCGTTGTCCTAAAAAGTTCATATAAATTGATAGTCAAATTCTTATTATTATACTTCTAATACTTGTGTTACTATTATTCCATTCTAGAATTCTATTCTACAAAAAAATAAAAACACCCGAAACGCACTTTGCTCCCGCACCATCGCATGCACATTTTCAAACTCGTTTTCGATCTAGAAAATCGAGGTTAGAGTGCAGTTCACCCTCTCCCCGCCCGCCCTCCACACCTTGTATCTCGGTTCCCTGTGATCTACAGGTGTGTAAAGTATACCAAAATGTTCATCTTGCTCTGGCGAGTATTTTGGTATATTTTACACACCTGTAGATAAATTAGGGAGCCG